ACGTTTGCGCTTTTAATATTAGACTTACAGAGCGAAATAACTTGGTAATCAACAGTGTACAGCTACTGTACCTGGATCCCCACTTTCTTCAAAAATCAAGGTCAGTTATATTGTCTATTTACCAATACTAACTTGATAATTCTTGTGAATTGAGATATATTCTGTCATTATCTCATGGTAGATAATCATTTATTCTAAGTACATAATCACCATTTAGATTTACGTTGGTCATAAATAACCAGTCGATCAGTATAAGGTATAAGTTACTAGGATTTGTTATTTTCAATCATTTCCACTTCGTACTACCATGAAATTAATATATAATATATAATAGACATCCTATACTATAACATTAATTACTCATTTCAATCATGATGACTATCTATCTTAGCAAATCTCTTTAATAGTTTATATTGGGTCATTTACTGACAATTACCCACCTCAGGGAATTGATGAAGGACTGCACAAGATCGTGGATTGACAAAGTCAGACATTAACACTGCAGGATGCTGGTTCATTGGTCTACTAGTTAAAAGTTCGTGTGTGAAACCTAAGGTACTGAGTTTGAGTCCCTCATGCGCAATCATGGATGCTCAATGTTGAAGTCCCACACTAAGGCAAAGCGACTGTCCAATGCTCCCAGATTTTCAAGAGTGGTCTAGCTTAGATACAGGTATAGTTATTTATAAACCATTACCTGTTCAAGATATTCAATATCCATTGACCGAATACCATCAGTAACATCCTGAAAGTATAAACCAGGTTTCAAATGAAGAGGAAATTGAGAAAAGACACTGGAGGTGGATAAGATACACATTATGGAAATCATCAAACTGAATCACTAAGCAAGTTATAACTTGGAAGTTTCAATGAGAAAGTAAAAAGAGTCTGACTATTGAATAAATAACTTTTGGAGTTGAATACTGAGATCAAGATCGACTGGGAATAACTCAGGATGGAGATGTATAAAGGTCCTTAGTCGTTGACCCATTCTCGAACATGAGTAATAGACTTTGATACATAATACATCATATTTAAATCACCTCTTAATCTACAGTAAGATAGTATAAAAACGTCGAACAACTAACTAACCAACTTTTTCGTTGTCTTTTCTAAGATATAACTTTTTATTTTGGATAATTTTTCTGGTTAGCGTTTTTTTAGCGAGTTGGTTTTCTACCGGATGGGATCGCTAACCCCATGCTCAACCCTCCTCATTTTCCGGGCTTGGGACCGGCAGTAGCTCAAGAGGGGCTCCAGGTGGAGTTAAATATGGATCCAAATATTCAAATATTGCCGAATTATAGAATTTAACATTTCATAATATGAACTATGAAATTCAGTAGCTAAAATTCAAAATCATTGGCTAATGATTTATTAGTTCAATCAGTGGACTACATTGTGTGACCATTATCCATTTTAGATTTATCACGTAGCTACATCGACTAAAGTTGGTCTACTATTCCCAACTAAAAAAAATTTAGAAAATTTGTTTGAACAGATTTATTGTATGATCCTAAATTGAGAAAAAAGAACAATGATGAAGGTTAAATTGACTTGATATTGTTTGTTTGTATCTTCCCATTGTTATTTAGGACTGCGATTGGTTAGTTCCTTGTTGGCATATGTACATCCTGGACAGATTGCCTTGATATAGCCTTATTTCACAAGCATTATATGGAAAGATGGATGGTGGCTAGCAATGGAATCCAGGACATGTGTTTCGTCATATTTAGGACTCGTCAACTCGATGTATCTGAATCTCAGAATTGATGTTCACCCTGGAACTCGAACTCAGTACTTTTCGCTTCAAATGCCATCGCGTTATCCACTTAGGTATGTCTGAAAACCTGATAATGAAAGAAAATCTAATTTGAAACCACTTTTTCTGGAGTGTATTTATTCTAGAAAGGTAATATTTATTTATTACTTAAAGTTTGAGTTACCCCGTTTTTGATACTTTGGATGGGATAACTAAAAGCCAAACTAATGATACGAACATTGTAGCAGTTGAACAGGATATCAATTTAATAATTGAATTCATGAGCCGATGTAAGCCAGAACTTCATTGAAAACCTGATAGCACTGGATGATCATTTCGTAAAAGTGTGAGACTCCTCAACAGTGCGCGTCCGATCATCGTACACGTGGTACTCAAACCCAGGATCTTCGGTCTCTTGCGCGAAATCCTAATCTCTAGAACACTGAGTCGAACTTCAACTAATCCACGATATTGTGCAACCGCCCATCATTGTTTTCAATAAGTAATTGCCTCACAACAGACACGTTTGAACTCCACTGGTCATGGCCGTCCAATGCTTCCAGGTTTCCAAAAGTGGTCTAACATCAATCGGTTCATGATCTCAATCAAAAACTTATTAATCTCCACAACCATTATACTACTAAGTTGAAATAGTTCCTCATCTATTGTGTCAATAGAATAGATTCACTTAATCCTAGAGGATAAAGAGTGATTTAGGGTCCTAGATATCATTGATAGACACAATTCATCAATTCTAAATTGTTTTGATTTTAAGCATAGAAACAAAATTAATCCGAGATGAATTATGATAACGTTTTTTTCTAAAAAAAGAATCGTTTAATATCCTGATCAGAAGATAATTCCCATTTTGTTTTATCCGGCTAATTTAATTCTCATAGATACATCTTTAATTTAATTTGTTGGATTTTATTCTTCTTCTTTCTGTCTTATAATTTAGTTAAAATAAACGAAATACCATAAATCTCTTACTTACTTACTTACGCCTGTTAATCCTCGTGAAGGAGCATAGGTCACTCACCAGCATTCTCCATCCAACCCTGTCCTGGGCAATCCTTTCCAGCTCTTTCTAGTTGTTATTCATCTTTTTCATATCTGCTTTTATTTCCCGATGTAATGTGTTCTTAGGCCTTCCTCTTTTCCGCTTCCCTTCAGGATTTCAAGTTAGGGCTTGTCTCGTGATGCAGTTTGACGATTTCCGTAATGTATGTCCTATCCATTTCCATCGTCTTTTCCTAATTTCCTCTTCATCTGGAAGCTGGTTTGTTCTCTCTCACAGTAGGCTGTTGCTGTTTGTATCCGGCCAATGGATGTTGAGCATCTTGCGTAGACAATCATTTATAAATACTTGTACCTTCTTGATGATGGTTATAGTAGTTCTCCACGTTTCGGCTCCGTACAGTAGGACTAACTGCCTTGACGTTCTCACTTTGATATTAGTTGACAGTTGTTTTGAGTTCCATATGTTCTTCAATTGTAGGAATGCGTCCCTTACTTTGACAATCCTCACCTTTTCGTCTGCATCTGATCCTCCTCATAAATTTCTTGCTGGTAATAAACAGTTTAAATCATACCATTTTAAATAAGATACGATATAATTCAATGATCTTAATAGGCTTCAGAATTATGGTGTTCTTCTTTAGTGTCTGATTCAAAATTACATGTTGTGTCACTAAGTTAGAAAATATAAAAACATTGGAAACTGTCTAATCGATTGATAGACTGGGTGAAACGAGACATATCTTAAGGTTGTGCTCAAATGCTGTCTTTAGGCTAAGCGCTAACTGAAACGTAATAAACAAGGTACGTTGTTGGACGAACCTGATGATGCACTTTGTCAAGGCCTTGGCCTTTATACATATACCAATGATTTGAGTACGTTGTTATTTAAGTGGCAGTGACAGCTTCCAAGTCATTTTTAGTCCTTTCACTCACGTGCCAGCTTAGGTTTGAGTTTAGGAAGCTTGTATATTTGATTGGACGACCGCAAAAAATAGCGTTTATGTTGTGGACAATCTTCTTGACAGTAAAGTTGAATATAGTGTTTTCGGTTTAGTACTAGTTTAAGCCTGAAATGATAAGTAGTGTTGTTTGCCCTGGGATTTGAACTCAAATCATTTAGTTTCACATACTGAGACGTTGCCATTAAGGTACTTGAATGTCCATTGACCTTCCGTAGGACTGAGATATCTACAAATGATTGATGTCTGATTGTTGACGGATTTCATGTTTATTATACTCCTTCAGTTTTGGTCGACTTCTATCAATTTAACTTCGGTTCCCATAAGGATCCTTATTTTCCTCAAGATTAAAGGTGCTCTTCGGTGACGAATATCAGTTTCCAAGAAACCTAGATGAAACAGGATATCCTGATGACTACTCCCACTACCTACATAATACACGCGATGTAGAGTCATTTAGAGTAGTGATCATATAAGGCGGTCTGCTTGAATATTTGAGCTACATGTGTTCTGCCATCTGGATATTTCAACAAGTTATCTGTTTTCTCGTTTGTTTTAACACATCATTATGCTTATTAGTCTCATCACTTATTCAGGTGTGTTTGTGAAAAGCTTACTACATTTGGCTGTATAAGTTACAAAAAAGCTTAGTCAGAGACAACGTGGTTGCTGGCAATATCCATCGAAAGGAATAAACATTATTCAAATGTCTATTCCTGAACTGCTAATGTCTAACTGGGAACCACCCAGTATTTATCACAAAGATCTATCAAGAAACGGAAACCTGTTGTAATAGTTTGTGCTGAGAATTCTATATTCTACCAAAAATATAATATTGAATAAAACTACTACTACTACTACTACTACTACTACTACTACTACTACTACTACTTCTACTACTACTACTACTACTACTACTACTACTACTACTACTACTACTACTAATAATAATAATAATAATAATAATAATAATAATAATAATAATAATAATTACAACTTGATCTATAGGTTTTGAACGGTAACACCAAAGGTTTTGACAAACATGACACTGAATACTACTGAAAGATCAACCAATTTTAGACTGACTATATTTTGGCCTCACACTCGTAAAAGTTTTCAAGCTGAATAATCGCTAGTCAAGCTTCAGTCTTCTGAAGTTTGATGAAGCCATTATTATCGGAAGGGGTTTGTGGAGATTTTACAGATTTCACAGATTGAAATCATGAGTCAGTTGAAGCTAGACCACCATAGAAAACCTGGAAACATTGGACGGCTGTTTCGTCCTAGTATGGGACTCCTCAGCAGTGCGCATCCACAATCCCGCACCCTGCGGGATTCTAAAATCTCCACAAACCCCTTCTGATAATAATCATTTGCTCACTAGTGACTGAATTCAAGAGATATTCCTGGAGTTCTAGTGGGAAGCCGTTACCAGTGGAGTTCAACCAGTTCTGTTGTGAGATATCAGCTCACTGAAGACAATGGTGGATTGTGGCGCAACTTCGTGGATTGGTTGAAGTTAGACATTAACACCGTTGGATGCCGGCTCAGTGGTCTAATGGTTAAGTGCTCGCGCGCGAAACCAGTATGTCCTGGTTTCGAATTTCGCGGGGTGCGGGGTCGTGGATGCGCACTGCTGAGGAGTCCAATACTATCAGTGTACATTCATAACGTTATAGTAAACACATTGAATTTCTTCATTATGTACATGCTGTAATTTGAACAATTAACCCATTGTCTAAACGTATGTGTAAGTCTGATTGAAAGCTTATCTACGTCTTAATCTTTATTTAACCTCCGATTGGTTGTAAACACTGACAATCAATAATTTACTCACAATTAATTCACACTTCTAAAATACATAGAGATATTTCTACTGTGTATTCTCACTCACTTCCCGGTGTGCTTTGTCTTTAGTGTGCTTATGGATTTTATTAATCATTAGCAATACATTGTTCTAACAACTGGTGTTCTGGTTTTTGAATATTCTCAAGTAAATTCATAGTACTACTAGGAGAACTGACTTACTAAACTATTCCGATAACGGAACACTGTATGTCAGAGTCAAATAAAAAGGAATTAACCTCTACAACGTAATTACATTGTTGTGATATATTCACAAATCGAAATATGACTTATACAATCTTAGTACTGTGCTAAACCAACGACGTTCGACTGGTATGAGCAGCCTAGTATCCTTATTGATCTTTTGTTCGCCTAGCCCTTCCAGTTGAGCCCAGAACGATAATAACAGCTTCAATATGCAAATCATTTGATTTATATACAAGCCAAATAGACCACATTGCACCATAAAATAGGAAATAACATTTATACAAGATCAAACCAAAAAGTGGCTGTAAACGTGGGTGTTGGTAATTAATAAACTGATTTTTTTTATTGAGATCATGAACCTACTGATGTTAGACCACCACCTTTGGAAGCCTGAAAGCACTTAACGGCTGTTTCGTCCTATTGTGGGACTCCTCATCAGTGCGCGTCCACGATCCCGCTCGCGGGATTTGAACCCGGAGCCTTCGGTCTCGCGCGCGAACGCTTAACTAACTGGACCACTGAGTCGGAATCCAATAGTGATAGTGGATGGTTTTGTCATAGAGCTTTCATCCTTCTTCTGAACGACATCATCAGCACAAACTTCAGCTGAGAGAACAAAACTCCATCAAAATCATCTACCTGAGCTACAAATCTATCTAGATCAGTGACAAATAGAATTTATTGTTTCATAAACATATCAACTTCTCTGTATACATGTTAAAATACCAAAAGAATTAATGATTTAGTGATAATATAATCAAATCAGTGAATTGGATGACGGTGTTAGCCACAAAATCAGCAGATTAAATGAATATCAGTGTGGGGTTGTAGGGATTGTTAAGTTTTTGATTAAAATCATGAATCGATGAATGTTAGATCACTATTGTAAACCTGAAAACAATGGACTGCCATTTCGTCCTAGTATAGAACTTCTCAACAATGCACATTCACAATTCTGCATGTAAGATTCGAACAGTTAGATACTGGTTCAGTGGTCTAGAAGTGAAGCATTCGCACGAGAGATCAAATGTCTTGGGTTCGAATCTCACGTTGTGGGATCATAGATGAACATTACTAAAGAGTCCTATACCATGACAGAACGGTTGTCCAATGCTTTTAGGTTTTCAATACTTCTCTAACACTCATCGATTCATGATATCAACCAACAGATGAAATGAAATTTATCGTTTTTCGTGCTAGTTTGATCGTCAATTATGTATGTCCTTTATTTACATGTCTGTACAAACAACTATTTTAACAAATCATAGATCAGCACTTATTAGCCAATCAGAATGGAGTATTGTTCATTGTTCTGATTGGTTTATTTGGATCCGACTATAAAAGTGAGAATAGAAACATATATATATATATATAAGATACTGGGGTTATTTGTAACCGGGGTAACATTACTCAAGTCATGCTTGCATGTGCTGGTGTTTTTAGTTGTTTAGTTATATTTCTGCCATTAGTTCAAATGGTTACACTTGAACAAGCTATGTCAGATCCTGATAAATATATAAGATATGATACTAGTGATTTTAATATTGGAATGCATGTTGGACTTTCATTATTAATAAATTATGGAATTCTATCAACTGCAGTTTTATTTATAGTTATAGTATCTAAAGCTCTTGGATATAAAAGGAAACGACATGGTTAAAATGAAAGGTAAGATTTATTTTTCTTAATAATTATTATTCTAATATGTTTCTTAATGACTTTTTCGTTTTTAAATTTTGTATTCTAAATTCTTTGTTGCTATGTGATAAGTCTTGCAGATTAGAACGCTATATTCGTATCCTAAGCTATTCTGTAACCCCCAAGCTAGAACTATACAGCGAATTGAACACGAGAGAGAAGACTCAAAGTATGCGGGAAGTAGTTTACTCCAAGGTTCGTTTTAATGCAGAAAATACCGGGTTTTTTAAAATATTTTAAATGTCTTTGGGTTGCTAGAAGATTCTGGAATGCTACTAAACATAGTAGCAATGTAGCAGCTAGCCAATCAGAGCCTCTGCATATGACGTTTCGTTTCCTTGATATTTTTGGCCAAGACTTCAAGTGAACGCTGATTGGATGAAACGCTTCTTCGTGTTTCCTGATGCTTGCTTGTCTTTTGTAAGCGATTTTCTGGATCACCCCAACACTGGGTTTTTTTTATAAAAAAGCTATTCTTTTGCCTTGCTACCAACTGTTCTAATTAATAACCGGATTTTTTGATCGTGGATGCTCGTTACTAGAGAGTTCCATAATAGAATGAAACAGCCATCCACAGTGCTTCCAGGTTTTCCATGGTGGTCTAGATTTAATTGACTCATGATCTTAACTGTTGAAAAAACAAACAATAAATTTGGTTTTATTTCGATTAAATCAAAACTGAAGTTAAGATGTTTTATATTGGTTTAAATAAAAATCACCCCTATCTATTTAGTTTAAAAATTAATTCAATAATTATTTACAGTTATCGTGGTATGGCTTAGATACTGAGGTTTAAGATATTAAAGAAAGATTTTTGAGAGGTTTAATTCATCATTTATTATAGTTGAATGCTTATGTTGTTGAAATACAACTTTAGGTTCTTACAAAATTGACAACTTGACAATATATATTATTTTTCAAGAAGTAACTAGGTAGTTTTGGAGTCTTCATGTTTGTGGAGTGACGACTCAGTGATTAAAGCATCCGACATCCGAGTACTATGCAACATGTTCGAACCTCTTACCATTTAAGTTGGTTTAGAGGGTTGTGTTGCATCACTAGCTCTTAGATTTGGAGTGTCGTTTAAGACCAACTACACGAATATGTATGTGGAAAATTAATAAATAATAATTTTGTAATCTTTTATAGAATAAGTTGTCAACAATACATTATGTAAGCCTGTATTTCAAACAATAACTTGTAAAAATGGCAGAAAGCTAACTAATTTTGTAAACGGCGGTTGTAATCACAAAAGTTAATTAAACACTAGCGAATAAACATGTGATTGATAGAATACAAGTACTTCTACTTGGATTCTGTGCTGATGATGTCGTTCAGAAGAACGATGAAATCTCCATGACCAAACCATCCAGCTCAGAGAACAAGTTTATTTTTTTATATTATTTATTTGAACACATAGGTATTGGTACAAGGGAGTACCAGATACATATGCGCCACACAAATCGAATGAGATTTGTGTGAGGGCTGTTGATACTGTCAAGGTACCCAAACCGGGGCAGGTGGTTTTCTGAGGGGGCCACACCCGGAGCCTTTGACTTGAAGGTCTGATACACAAGGCAGTGGAACGACGTAAGGAGATACATTACCATGGTAGCTCGTGACCAATAAGTGGTTCATACTCCATTTGTTCCCTCAGGAAACTGAAGTCTATGTGCACCATTGTTTGGGAACCAGGGTGTTCCAACTCCCCTAGGTGGATCCTCCGTATCCACCAACCCGGTTAAAGCGCCGGACATTCGCTTTTCGTCCTCTTAATTTTGTAAACAACACCTGTGGTGCGAGAAGGCAGTGAGTAGGACTTCCCTGGCAGAGGCTATATACGCGTGGCCATGTGAGAACAGTTTGAGAGGGAGAGCTGACTCTTCCCAATCTCGGCCGTACCAGGGCATTTGGGGGCACAGAGAACAAAATTTCATCAAAATACAAGTAATTAGAAATTCATGTTTTATCTTATATTTAAAACACAATGATTTATCAATATGTGTGAATTTAAAGGATTCATTTATAAAATCTTGTCACGTAAATCATCTAGTTCAGAGCACACACACACACCAAAGTATCCACCTAAGCTGCAAATCTCCAATTTCTCATTCTGAACTAAATCATAATACATAATAAAATTTACATAGTGAATTTTTTTTCTAGTTTTATGAATATAAATTACATTTTTCGCTATAACTGTAGCTAAGTCAAACAATGTTTGAACCGGTCATGACAGATTTAAAATTCAAGTACTCCCCCCTCACTGAAAAAAATATTGGTGAGTAATATTTCAGGACACATGGTAAAATAAACCGAGTTGTCATGCTATTTACAGTTGATTGGTCTTTAGTGGTGATTATCGTTATATTTGTCAAGTTCTTCTTCTTCTTATTATTATTTCAATAGTTGAGATCATGAGTCAATTGAAGCTAGACTGCAATGGAAAATCTGAAAGCACCAAACAGCCGTTTCATCCTATTGTGGGACTCCTCAGCAGTGCGCTTCCACGACCTCGCCTTGCGAGACTCGAACCCAGGATTGACTCGTGATCTCAACTATTGAAATTATTACAATCTTCATAAAAAAATCCTTCTGATATTACCATTAATAGCAATCAATATTCAATATTATATTTTTGGTACAATATAGAATTCTCAGCACAGGGTATGTCGACAAGTTTATTTTACAAAAAAGGAAAAAAAGCGTAAAAGAAGCTTACAAGTGCATACACATATATGCATATGTTAATTAAATAAACTACCCGGAATTAATATGAAGCGTCTTTTTTTAAAAAAAAGATTCAAATTATAAAAAAATTAGAAACATGTTTAAAGACACAAGTTATTGACTAGGTCAACTCTAACAACTTGTTCGTCGCATAGTATATTTGCTAGAGAAGGTATTATAGAACTTTTATGCCTTTACTAATGTGCATGAATTTTAATGTGTTGACATTTCGTTCTACCAGAAGATATACAAGGAGAAAGATATGAATGAAGTGGTTAGTTAGTATCTGGTAAGATAACACCTGCCAAGAGTTTGCAAAACTTTAGACATCTATCCACAACCATATTAATAATGACCTCAAAAGATTCATCACACACACCCTGTTAACTGCTTTCAGCAATCTCCGCAATACAGCAAATTATTTTCTCAAAAGCTCGAGAAAAAACAATAGAGAACAGTGAAGAATAACAGGTAATATGTACGAATTGACAAGTTGTAAGAATAAATGTCGAGTCATCCCAGAAACATGTTGTAAGTAAGAGAGAAAACTTCATTTTTAACAGCGATAAAACATGAGAAGACCAAGAGAGATATGAGGAAAAACTTACACCTAGATAAATGACTTTTGACACTGTTTACCAAATAATCTCTAACAATACAAGGTTTATGTGTTCCAACATGGTGTTTAGGTGCTGTCAATGTCTCAGGCTAAAGTTATCAGTTTAGTTGGTTTAAGTTTGAGATCATTAACAACAGACCACTATTCAATACGATACAAGAACTCACTCATTTCAAGGGGATGTGAAGAGGTAGAAATCGGTATACATACATGAGAGACGGCAGATCATGCAGAAAAACAGAGGAAAGAAGAGAGGAAAGAACAGCTCCTTGTGGCACACCTTCGTGAGACAGTAGGGACGTCGAACACTTTCCTCCAAACGCAGTGTACTGTCTTCTTCCAGAGAGGTAGGAACATAGTCAGTTGTTTATCCAGCTGTCAGTATTGACGCTGACTAACTTGCCAAGTAAACGCTGTCTTGGTATAGAATCAAAAGTAGAAGTATAGTTCAAAAAAGCGCATCGAACATACTTCTTACCCTTTTCCAAGTTGAATACTATATTATGATTGAGAACAACAACAGCATCCAAGATGCCCTTTTGCATTTGTAAGCAAATTGATGCGGATCAATTTGCTCTTTTAGTGCAGGTTGAAGTGGGAGTGGCAATAATTTTTCCATTGTTTTGAGAAAAGTTGGAGTTGTTTCTATTTTTATTGCCATTCCTATGGCCAGATACTTTCTTAGGTATTTGGATTATCTTCATCTTTCTCCACATTATCTCTATAAGATTTGTTGAGAAGGATCTGTTAAAGATGCTCGTGAATGGATAACACAGAACATCAGTACACTTTTTAGAAAGGAAGTTTGCGATTTCATCAGGTTCTAAACATTGGGACGAGTTAAGTGACTGGAGACATTTCTGGACATCGGTTTTAGTGAAAATCGGAACACAACCATTCTTCGAATTTCTTGATATAAGAAGCATGACATCAGATCTTAGTATTCATCGAATTCTATCGAACAAGTTGTAATATAGCCACTAGTCTAAGTGACTCGATATCACGTGCACTATGTTGAGATGTAAGGTGGTAGATGGAGGTAGTCAATAGGACACCATCAACCTTCTTCAAATCCATTTCAGAATGAATCTAAACTACCTAACTTCCAAAATTATCAATCAACTCGTTTGTTTTTATCATAAAAAAAAATTTGGTAAGTTACTCGTTAATACCAACCACCCTCCTCATGTTGGTTTATACCTACTTTTGAGATTATAAGTGGTGAAGGAAGGAAGGAAGGATCATCATTTACAATGCTTCGACGAAGTACGAGATGTTAGGTTCATAGGCGAGACTATAATTTATGGGCGAACCAATTAAATTTACGATAACAGGTCTTAGATTTTAGCACGAAATTCATTCACTCATTCGGCTAAATAGAGTCTTTTTATTATAGCTGATGTCAGTTCATGATGAAAACTCTAAATCTAATTCCTAATCCCTAACCATCAACTGTAAATCATAATCCTTATTCTTCAAACTGCTTTATAACTCTCATTTAGCCCTAGTAAGTAGATAGACACACTGAAGGTCACTTTAGCGTCGCTCAAAGGTCGTCCATAAATTATAGTCTCACCCGTTTAAAACTTAAAGTGTATAGTAAAGTGTTTCTTCATAAAGT